GCGGATCAGAGGCAGATTCAAGCCAACTTTGTAGATTTTCTACAGCTATCCGGGAAGATGATGTGTTATTTGAAGAGCACGGCGTAAGGGGTTAGCATTCTACGGCATACTAAAGGTGCCATCCGGCATGGGTCATGATTCACAAAGCATTAGACGCATATCCTACATAGGTAGGACAACAAGAACGTACTAGTAATATACTGAGAGATTGTACTTGACGACTGGGCACAGAAAAGCCAATTTCTTTGAAATACGTGCCAGCACTTAAATCACCACTCAGATCGTCATTGTCGCCTTCCCGAGACTGACTATGAGCCGCGGAAAAAGACGATGTGGCTTGGCGGCGGTGGTCCTAGTAGTCTACCAGTCCATGTCGTGATGGAAGCGGTTGACCTCATCAAAGGAACAAGCGCTGTGTCATGATTGTTGGCCCCCAAGGCCAAGATACTGGTCCGCATGTAGAGCCGAATGAAACGTGGTGCGCTACGCAAGAGCTTCGATCGGTAACAAAGAAGCGGCGCATGCCAATTCACACTCTTCGGGTATCGACGAAGAATGGACCCAACAGAATACAAATAGTAAGTGCTTGCCTTGATTGACGGTGTCTGGATGGCGTTCCAGAAGCCGCATGCGGGTTAGGATTAGAGAGATGCGGCGGTTCGCGGCGGCCGCATCAGTCCAAGACAAATCCGGCACCAAATGCGGCCAGCCCGACACATAACGGCAACTCACCGGCACCGGTCCTCAAGTTGGGGGGCTCGCTTTAAGAAAATTGTCCCTGATCTCCTCTTTTATCTTGATTTCTGAATCACGGTCCCCATATGTCGACAACACCCAAACTCATGGGTGTGAGCATGAATACTTCCACCCGACTCAGGGGTCTTTCCGGAATGCCGCTGATTTCATGAAAGAGGGATAGATCTACGACTCCGTTCCCACAATCTATATCGACTCAGCAATAGATAGGTACTGGACTCTCGCTTTGCTAGGTTTGTTCTCGGCTGCGGCTCCAACATGAGCAACACAACTATACCATCAGGAGGAGCATCCTTGTCAAGTGATACAAGGCAGCCGTTGGTCGTCGGTATTATCTCAATGTTTATCGCATTGGTTGCCATTTTTATGGTCGTTCGGGTTTGCATCAGGGGCTACCTCTTGAGAGCATGGGAACTCGACGACTCCGTGTTCATGTGGTCTTCAGTGAGTTCAAAGTTGCCCCGCCATCAAGAGCCACAAATGACAGCTAACACTATCATACAAGATGCTCGTGATTGTGCAAGGTGTCATGGTACTATGCAGTAAGTCATAACTCTGCTGGACTTGCACTGTGTTTCAGCCAGCAAATAGTCTGATTCTGATTTCCTTCATCAGATACAGTATACGGTAGTCTTGGGCTGCACCTTTGGAGATCAACATTTTATCAAATACAGCAAAATCCTCGTGTAAGTCACCACGTCATATGATCTCAAAACGGTACCAAGCCTGCGAGTCTTTGACTGATGTCCCTCTCAGTACTTGGTTACAACAGTCTTCATGTACCAATTATCTTTCGGTTTCATCAAAGCAACGTTTCTGCTCCAGTTCCGCCGAGCATTCGCTCTGCCTCACATAATATTGTTCTGCGACATTTTCCTGGGTATCATGTTCCTAGCACTCGTAGGATTGCTCATCTTCGGCGGAATCGTCATGAAAGACTTTCTGAAGCCGGGTTATGCTCCTACGCCCGGGGAAAAGGCATACCTCATATTTGGCTACGTCAATGCCGCCGTACATCTCTCGACAGATATCGTCATCTTCATACTACCGCTGGCACTTGTGGGCCAGATGCGCCTTGCTGCAATGCAAAAAGCTGGTCTAATCTCCAGTTTTGGGGTAGGCATTTTGTGAGTAATATAATTTGGATGTTCAAAGGCCGTCTTCCTGAACAAATTACAGCACCAGCGCGATCTCCGTGCTGAGAATCGCCAGCCTGCCTCTGGCGACTAGCGGCATCGATGGGTTCTACCAAGCTGTGCCGCTCGTTCTCCTAAGCATGGCCGAGCCAACGTCTGCAGTCATCTGCGCATGTGTGCCGATCATGCGGCCCTTGTTGGCATGCTCGGGAACTTCAAGGTATGGCAGTCACGGGTCGCGAAGACCCCTTTCAGGAGCAACCACCGAATCAGCCGGACAAAGACGTCAGACACCGAGTGCGCCTCCACAATCTCCCACCAGCATCATAAGCCAATCGGTGGCGCAGATGACATACAGATCGACTGTTTCGGGGAGCATAGATGGAGATTTGGAAGGATACATTTCGAGCCAACAAGCCAGGGGAAGCATCAACACATTAAACCCATTGTCCATGCACCCATCATCACCCACCAAAATAGTTCAGTTTCCATGAGAAATTGAAGTTTCTTCAGTTTTACAACAGTTGGAACTCAGTGATTTATCGCGGCGTCTAAAATCGCATGGAAACATAAGCGCGTGTGTTCATGTTCACCTTACGATAACGAGAGACAACACATTGTTGGATGAAAGTATGGGGCTTAACATGCAAAAAGCCTTCGGAATGAAAGAACCTTGAATTATCTTGTTGGTCTTCACAGGTTGGCCGTGAAAACATACGAAAATGGCATCATTCACTCAAATGCGCCAAGCAGGAAATCGTGATAGGATGCTCTTCAGACGTGGCGAGTTCAGGAAACTAGTTACCAACGTTTCGCGGCTCACCTGATGAGTCGGTGCCGCCTACTAACGACTTGAAGCAAGTTGGGAAAGCAAACATCGACCCCCAGCAGCGGCTCAGACAAGCTACGGGTGTCAAATGGGAGGCTAAGAGACAAGAACGCCTGATCACCCGGTGTCCGATGCGCTGTAAGCCTGCATCCGAGGATGGAGGCAATGCCAAGTTGCACTTTTAATACGTGTACTCCGAAGGCTGATGGCTCGGATTGTTGGCAGTGGACACAGAGTTGTCTCTCAAATCATAATCCCTTTTGATTAGCAACGGGAGATCCAGGGTTTAGAATCCATAGTGGGGAGATGTTTGCTACATTTCAATGCCAAAATCATGTTGGCTGAGTTACTTGGACTACCCAGTACGTCGGAGTCAACCACATGAACATCAATGACGGTATCCGCTGAACCACAAACATGGCCTCAAAAGATCACGTACAGCGTCCTCAATGATGCCTCTTCAGCTTAATAGGTACGCGTAGATGGGACCTTTTGGGTCTATCTTTCTAAGTATAATATTCTAGGAAGAGTTTTTCTGCTATGAGCATCCGAACCCTATCAATTTATAATTGCATGCCCAGACTCTTACAGGGGCTGCCAAAGTGGGTTGCGGAGCCTAAGGTAGAGCTCCATATAAGTTAAGCCAACCACTGACAGAACCTCCAAATGTTGAGCATTATTTCTTTTTCGAAAACTCAACCCTAACATTTCCAGTCCTTTTGTTAGTTTGGTCATTCGGAGAACGATGGATCCTGAACAAGGGAGACGAGGCCGATGTCGTAAGGGGGAGAATGACTGCCCACGGACGATACTAGGGCAGTAAGGGGGCGAGAAGATATCCAGGTGTTGCCAAGTCAACTGCAGATCACTCAGAGAAGGTGAGGAACTAAGTCAGAATGCGAATTGGTTTCGGACTGGAACCGTGCTGTCACAGTCCTTGATTCCAAGTCCCTAAACCCGAAAAGAGGGTCTTGGAAGATGGCAAAGCACTGACACTTGTCAAATGTCGCTCCTCATGTCCGGTTTCCAGGAGGGGCATACCTAGGCTGGAGCTCGAATCTCAGACAACATATTGCTTATTTCCTTCCCCGGTTTACCACAAACGGCCGGTCGGGCGGGTACGCTCGAGACTACATGGACTTCGCTTGGCAAATTGTCCACTCAAAGGTCGCGAAATATGCCCTGTGAAAAAAGAAGGACTTCTGCTGGGAGTGCACACTCTGCGAAAGCAATCAAGCTCGCTTGTCAATTTGATGTCAGCACGGAGTCTTTCCCGTAGCCTGCACCACGCCGCCCGGTGGAGTAACACAAGTTTCCAAGGGATGGTCGAGACCCCAGCATACCATTCCACAGGAATAAAACAACCCAAGTTCCCGGAAACTGAGTTTTGGTCCTGCCGTGGCTTGTGCTTCTTTACTTTTCTTGACCTGCTTTTTCCACCAGTAATTTCTTTTGTGATCGGCCTTGAAGGCTTGGATTGTCGTTGGGTGTGTCGATGGCCTCTTCCGAGTCCAGGTACATGGCCGAGCCGCCAGACGGTCAAGGACGATTCGATGCGGGCACTATAACGACCAGGGCGTTAGCATTGGGTGGAACGCTGACTTCTCTATCCATCATATTTGTCGGTCTACGAGCCTTCACGAGGCTCTCCCTAGTGAAACGAGGCCTCGGCCTCGATGACTGTGAGTATTCTCATTATTAATGATTGTAAATTTTGTTTTAACGAGCCCTTGTACAGATCTCATTAGCATCTCGCTAGCTTTGGCCATAATCTTCTACGGACTATCCGTCAAAAGTGAGAATACTTCAGCCAGTTACGATGGACGGCGTATCTAATTCCAGAAGTGTGCCAGCTCGGCGTGGGTACTCATCTTTGGCAAGTCGAGCGAGCTGACTATTCACCTTCGTTCCTGCTTGTAAGTTACAAAACTCTCTCGAGGTTGCCAGTTGAACCTTGGCAATCATCCCTTACTCGGATGCGTTCAACTGATAGAATGATCTAGCACAGCATCATTGCGATAGCCGTGTACTCATTAAGTGTGACTACCGCAAAGTTGTCACTCCTCGTTTTGTACTTGCGTCTGTCACCCGAAAGGTGGTTCAGAATTATTACAATGACCCTCATTGGCTTCGCCTCTTCGTACGCCCTGGCGTACCTTTTTCTCATCGTTCTCAGCTGCAGGCCAATCCAGGCTTCATGGGATCTCTCGGCTAGAGAGAAAGCGATATGCATCGACAAAAACACAGTCTACTTGGTGCTCAGCGCTACCAACATCATCATGGATGTCGTGTGCCTTGTTCTTCCTCTAAAGATCATCATCCCTTTGCAGATGGCAGCCCGACAAAAGCTGTCGCTGATTCTGCTATTCGCAACAGGGGGCTTGTAAGTGATGTCCCACACAAAGGTACACAATCGCATGCTGATCTCTCGGCAGCGTCTGCATCTGTGCAATCAGACGTACAATCCTGCTACCGCCGCTGTTCAAAAGTACGGACTACACTTTCGACATTGACAAGCAGTTGAACTGGGCATCCATCGAAGTCAACGCTGGAATTGTGTGCGCCTCCGTCCCGGCACTCAAGCCCTTCTTCGTGCGCTATCTGCCCATGTTTGTCACTTCGCATATCACCGCACGCGGCTCCAAGACGAAGAAGACAACACCAGATTATCAGAACTACCAACACTCGAATCCTTACTCGACCACGATCGAAGCCAATAAGAAGAGGCGCAACATCCAGTCAGAAGCTTACGAGCTGCATTCGCGTGATGATTTATCGCTATCTTCGAATGACATACCAAAGGATGGGTCAAGAGAAGATGTTGCGAAGCTTTGGTCCGGAAATGACATTCGCCAAGAAAGCAAAAGCTACCGCGAGACCATCATCGAGTCGAACCCGAAAGACCCGGATGACAGTAGCCCAACCATTGTCGACGAGATACAGCCGGTGGCGGAATATGACTCAAAAGGAGACTCATCACAGAGATTGGCGAGCATGAGCGCTATCAGGGTCACAACAGAGACGCGGGTCGAGTATGATGTGCTATGGCCCGACCATTGCAGTCCCAGGGAATGATTCATCCACGTTATTTTATCGTTTGTTGATCGTACTTTAGAAATATTCAAATTATACCTTTGCAGGTCGGACTGCAATTTGTCTCCAGGTTCCAGGTCTCTCAACTGCACGGCACAATGTCTATTTGCCCATTATGCAGCCTCGAGGTGCATAATATCTCTGAGGTCTTTCACCTCCGTACCAGGCCTCGTAGCGACAGGCTTCGACTTTCTGTTGCCATACTTCCATTCCTTCCTTAGCCCCCTTTCTTTGCCCTCCAAGGCATCTGCAATGTAGTCGCCTATGATTGGAAACATCTTGAAAGCATGGCCGGAGTCTCCAGTCGCCAGAAGTAGCGATGGATGTTTCGGGTGGTTGTCGATGAGCCAGTGAGAGTCAGGAGAGTCGGTGCACCAGCAGACTCGCGCACCTAGCAGCGGTCGACCGGAGAACTGCGGCATGACTGTATCAATAAACTTATTGATTGCTGTAGCTGCTTCATCGGGGATCCCGTCGTCGGGGTGTGCGCTCGCGTATCGAGGAATTGAGTAGTGTTCCACCTTACCCGAGGGATCAGTGTACGTGCCGATTCGGTACTGATAACCTGGGGATCCGTCACAGATCTTCATCCACTCTGAGAGCATTGTCAGTAAACAGAGTTTTGTCTCTCAGTATCGTGGAAACCTACTGGTTTCTGGATCTGGTTCGAATGTGAAGCCCAGCTCAAAATTGTCCACGACGGGAATTCCCTTCCACTGGGCAACCTCCTCATCGTTCAGCTCAATGTGAGCCAAAGACCAGCACTTTGTCCACATCTCCCGTGACAATTCAGGTAGAACCTCGGGCGATGCAGCTCCAGTACAGAGGATATACCTATCCCCACAGACAACATCGCCGGACGCAACCTTGATCCCGTCAAGCTTGCCCGAATTGTCGAGGCTCAGCCCAATCATAGTGCCATTGGACCCTGATATGAACTCAACACCCATGTCCTGTGCTGCTTTGCCCCATTTCTCTAGAGAGTTTTTGGCATGGGCCCAGCCGCCTTGGCTGTTCCAAAGGCCCTTCCAGTTCTCGATGCCGTCTGCATCACGGAGCTGCGGAGCGTGCCTGGCAATCTGCTCTTTGCCCGCCACCAGCTCGAGGCTACCAGCCTGTCCGGCCTTCTTGAGATTCTCATACGACTCTTTGAGGTGCTTCTCTGCTAGTGGGTCCCCTAGAGTTGTCACGATGCGTCCCTATGAGGTTCTGAGGAGCTGAAACAAGCGACAATGGTTTGGAAACGTTGACTGACCGTTTCATGAAAGATTCCTCCCCATTCTGGACCTCGCCAAGCATTGAGTGCCTCGAGTGCTAGTTCCGTATACAGCGGCTCATCATATTCTGTTCTGATGATTTTGTTCAAATCATACCCTGCAGAATCGAGACTTGGTATGGGATGACGATCGAGGCATCTGATATTGGTGTAGCCACGCTTGGCAAGATGATATGCGGTGCTGATTCCAAAGGTGCCACTGATAAGGTCCAATCAGTATTGCCCAGATTCGGTATAGTTGTGTTGGGACTTACGCGCCCAGAATGACAATGGTCGAGGTCTTTGAAAGAGGAGGGGTATTGACGGTCATGGCGAACGAATCATTACCATTATCCTTGTGTAAGAGAACAGAATTTGAACACACAAACTATCACCACTTCAAAGAAGGAATGTGCCTTAGAGTGCTTCCGTAAGATATGTAGTCCTCAAGTCGGTACAAACTCGCCGAGACTACATGAACTCTACGAAAGAGGATCGACTTGGTCGAAACATGGCCATCTAATTGGCTCATTGCTTTACCCCTCGTTCTGCACAGTTACTAACTAGACCATTATTGGGGCGCCAGGCCGCTAAAACGAACTTTTGAACAGGTGATCTCAGGGGTCTCTGCCGGCTTGGACCTTCCCTTCCCTCACCAAGTCCATCTTCGACGTCCTCCCCTGCCTCATCAACCTCGGAGATGTAACATCGGAACCCTGGAAATGTCAACAAGCTTTTACGACTCCGCATTACTCGTGCATTTCACTATCTCTCAACGACAACAATGGCTAGAAACGAGCCACTGATCCGGTCGCGGCAGCACAGGCCAGATAGCTTGGACCTTCCACAGTATTGTCTTCCCTGCTCCGCTGTAGGTAGTGTATCATGGGGAAACACCAGCGTAAAGCCTATCTCGACTGCGGGGTCTGGAGATCGGGTCAAGATAGACTGAGTGCAACAGAGGGGTACAGGTCTATGGAGGGTCGATACTGAGTAATTCTACCCGTAAGAGAGTTGATGCTCGGCTCGACGGCAAATGGTATATAACTATTACATGTAGAAAGTTTTTGTTCCACATCAGTAGCATCGGTCAGACCAGTTCAACGATCCACTCGTTTATATCAACACTGTCCGACCCAAGATCCGGTCACCATGTCTGGCACAGCAGACAATCACGGCGAAAAGACGGCCGTGGGCCGTCCAGGGCCGCAGTTGCATCCCGACGAGGAGGCTCGCGATGCCGACGACCTAGATAAGGCGATGACCTACGCCATTGACGAGATCGAGGAGCACTTTGACATCGAGTCCGACAACTCGCCGTACCCCGAAGTCCGCGCCAACGTGCCTAACACGGACGACCCGTCCATGCCCGTCAACACGCTCCGCATGTGGGTTCTCGGCGTCCTCTTCACCGTGATCGGCTCCGGCATCAATCAGTTCTTCTCTATGAGGTATCCGGGCGTCACCATCTCGTCTCTGGTGGCACAACTCATCGCCTACCCCGTCGGCTGCGCCGTGGCCCGTATCCTGCCAGTGAAGAAGGTGCGCGTCTTTGGCCGCTGGGACTTGGTGATCAATCCGGATCACTACTTCAACATCAAAGAGCACGCGGTCATCACCATCATGTCCAACCTGTCATTTGGACCGTCGTGGGCTACTGACATCATTCAAGCGCAGAAGGCGTCGGCGTTCTACGGGCTCGACACACCGGTCGCGTACCAATTCCTGCTAGGCCTCTCGATGCAACTATTCGGTCTTGGTATGGCTGGATTGGCGTATCGCTTCATCGTAGAACCTCCTCGCATGATCTGGCCATCGACGCTGGCCAACGCGGCGCTATTCCAGACACTTCATGGCCGGGCGAACCCTATAGCAGATGGTTGGAGGATCACAAGATATCGTTTCTTTCTTTATGTCTTTGTCGGGGGGTTCTTCTGGTATTGGCTCCCTGGGTATCTGTTTACTGGTCTGAGTACATTTGCCTTTGTATGCTGGGCTGCTCCAAGTAAGTCGGATACCTGTGTGATGGTTATCCATTTCCACTGACAAGGCGTAGAGAACGTTGTGGTCAACAATCTATTCGGCATGTCGACTGGCCTGGCCTATCTACCCATTACCTTTGACTGGTCTCAAATCGCCTACAACGGATCGCCTTTGGTCGTTCCTTTCTGGGCACAAGCTAATGTTTTTGCCGGCTGGGTCATCCTCTTTGCTCTCGTAACACCGATTCTATATTACACCAACACGTGGTATACCGCATTCCTCCCCTTCTCAGGCGCAGATACCTACGACAATACCGGCAAGATCTATAATGCTACTCGCGTGGTAGGTAAAGATGGCAACTTCATTGTGGAGGAGTATGAGAAATACAGCCCTCTCTTCATGCCCGTCACCTTCGCGCTCAGCTATGGTATATCGTTTGCGACGATGACCTGCGTGCCGACCTACATTTTCATCAACTACTACAAAGACATCATCGGCGCATTCAACCCGAGCAGGAAGAAGGATATCCACACCCGCCTGATCGAGAGATACCCAGACACACCATGGTGGTGGTACGGCATCATGACTGCCGTCGTGCTGGCGTTGACAATCATCGTGCAAGAGGTCTACAAAACCCAAATGCCTGTCTGGGGCGTTTTCATTGCCTTTGGGTTAGCTCTGATCTACCTGATCCCGACCGGTAGCGTCTACGCCGTCGCAAACCTCAACAGCAACGTCCTCACGGTCCTGGGCGAAATTATTTCGGGATACGCCATTCCGGGAAAGCCCATCGTCATGCTCATTTTCAAGTTCTACGCCTACACGGGGCTCAGCCAGGCCATGATCTTCTCCTCGGACATGAAACTCGGCCTGTACATGAAGATTCCCCGGAGGACGCTGTTTGTAGCCCAGTTGGCGGCTTGCATCACAGGCTCTCTCACACAGAATGCCGTTCTCCTGTGGATGCTGAACCACGTCAAGGACATTTGCCACGAAAGCCAGCTCAATGGCTACACCTGCCCGCAAGGGCGGGTCAACTTCTCTTCGAGCATCGTTTGGGGTGCCATCGGCCCAGCGCGGCTATACAGCGTGGGGAAGATCTACTCTGGTCTACTTCATCTCTTCTGGATTGGGGCACTGTTGCCTGTGGTGACATTCTTTCTCAAGAGGAGGTTCCCAGAGAATAAGTTCCTGAGATACCTTCACTGGCCTCTCTTCTTTGCAGGAACGGGCAACGTTCCTCCCGCCACAGGGATCAACTACACCTCGGCTTTTGTCGTCTCCTTCATCTTTAACAAGTGGCTTAAAGGCAAATTCCCCCAGTGGTGGGCAAAGGTGTGTTCAAATGCAACGACTTGCTTCCCGAACTTAGGTATTTAGTTATCATACTGACTCGGTAACGACAGTACAACTATGTCCTATCTGCCGCTCTCGACTCTGGCCTAGCCATATCCGCCATAGTCATCTTCTTTGCTCTCGTTTTCCCCGGTGTCCAGCTTAGCTGGTGGGGTAATAATATTCAGCGTTCGACCATCGACGGCCAAGGCGTTCCCTTGAAGGCTGTACCGTTGAATGGCACTTTTGGCCCGGCAACCTGGTCTTAGCCAGGTAATTTTTCTGATACCCGTCATCCGTCCGAATGATTCCCTGTACTTTTCTGGCACTGATAAGCCATGATTCCCAATAGAAAGACCCAATCAGGTACAAAAAATACCACCAATTAACGCATTGCGCCAAATCCACACGCTCGCATGTCGCCGTTACTCGTAAGCATAATACATTACAGGAACTGGGATCTACATCCACACAAATCACCGTTAGGAATGCCCTTTAGGTTCGACAGCAATACCGCCAGAGCTGCCCTACTCAAGCCAGACTAATATTGTGGCAGAAAGGCGCCACGAATCGAGCCCAGTCGTTGAAAGCCTTGGGACTGGGGGATAGCTGCCGATCCGACGATAAGAACGATGCCGCCTCGCGTTGTTTCCAGACCTTTTCAATAACGGAACGGGTCCGAGTGACATTGGAGAGCGAATCTGCCAACTTGTCGAGGACATAGAGGACAAAAGGACGCGCGTAGCGAGGGGATGTCTTATCCTCGACATCTCCCTCGGCCCATTCAAGCTCCTCTGTGGGATCGAGTTGACAGGCTGCCATAAAGAGCGGCCATGTGAGCCCAGCTTTGACATCCGCCTCGAGCAACATCGCGACGAGACGCAAGATCTTCTTCACGTTGTGCCGAATTACAGGCGTCGCGGGAGTAGAGTCGTTGAGAGCAGAGTGAAGGTAGAGCTCTACCGTCAATCGCTTCAACTCGACAGTATTCCTGATGATTTCGTCCTCGCTATCACTCTTCAGGTGCGGCTGTTGCAGCAGACAAGTCAACCTTATCCGCTGGCGCTCGAGATCCTGCCAGCAGTCCTCCGCCGTCGAAGATGACATGCGATGGTACTTGAAGCTGAGCTCCGTAATCTCGCCAATGATACTGACAAGCTGCGGCGAGCAGCCCATCCAGAGATCAAGCCCCTCGTCCTCCTGCGCGGACCAAAAGTCGTTACCGAAAATGGGCTCCTCGCCGCACGCGGTTCGTCCCATGACGTCGTAAAAGGCAAAATACCGCTCGGTGAACTTGATGATTCGTTCCCAGGGACTCTGCTGCCGCGCTGCCATCTTGGCAGCGTCCGAAGTCATGCCTTGGCGTCTGAACCTGATGAGGTCTCGGGCCCCGCGCAGATGCGTGACCCAGCGCTTGTCGCACTCTGCGATGATCTCGAGCTGGCAGAGCAGCATCATCAAGACGAGGATCTCCGAGTTGGCTGCGATGTCGATGGACGACTTGTTTCCGAGCGTCAGGCGCAGCGATCGGATAACTTTGGCCGAGTAGCTTAGAGCCACCGGCTGATATGTGCAGTCTGATCTTGCTCTGTGCGATGCGGCGAGGCCCAGTAGTGCGTGCATGAGGGCCGGCGAGGCGGATGAGACGGCAAATGGGAAGATGAGTGCGGAAAAGGGAGATTCGCCTGGAGCGCATGGGACTGTCATGGGACAGATCCGATTCAGGTAATAAGATAATAAATGTGATTCGGCCTGGCTGTCAAGTTGAACGTATTTCACCGGCCGATTGATACAGCCCAGATTCTTTCTCAGTGTAAGAGCTGCCGATTTGCGACCATCTGTGGAGCTGTCATCACTGGACGACGACGAAGACTCTTCCCTTTCAAAGTCGGTGATGAAGGAGTTCAGGAAACCAAAAGAGTGAACGTGGGTAGGGAGACACCAGTAATTGTCCAGGGTAGAAGGCGGCGTCGCGGATTTCTTCTTGTTATTGCCGCCAGTCCCAGATTTCGACCACACACCGGCCCTCCCAAAGGCGCGTCCGACATAGTCTGTCTCCCATTTCAGGACCTGGGCGTAGACGCAGTCGGCGTAGCCACGGGAAGTACATGGCCCACAGTGAGGTTTCGCCTCGTCGCACCGGATCTTGTGCAGTCGGCAGCGGTGACAGCCGCGGTGGCTCCGTCTAGATACCTGCTTGGAGGGGTCTCGTCTGCGCGGCATTTTTGCCAGAGACTGTGGGCGGGCTATGGAGATGTCTCGACAGGTCTAATATGAGCCAACAAAGGACACAGTCAGGGGCCGGTGCTAACAGTATTGAATAGTGGATTTGAAGATGGGGCGTGACATGGAACTACAAGAGAGGATTCCGGGGAACGGATGGGGAGGCCGGGGATGTGAGGGGGCCCGATTGTCGAGTGATGGAGCAAATCGTCGGCTGACTAAACCCCGTCCTTGGAGCCTGACTCCGACTTTTTGATCATCGCCAACATTTAGGTCTTTTAGATAGAGTTCGCCGGGATGGCTGGTTCGCTAATTGAAGGTTTGGGTCGGGGGGAAACACCCCGATCCCCAAGTATTGGATGCTCATTCTGGGAACTGCCAATCTTGAGTTGACTTGATGTTTGACTACTCACCTCAGACAAAAGCCAAAAGATTAGAGTTGGGCCGTTACCCTACCTTGTTTTCAAGAATTACGCAACTCAATGCGGAATGGCACTACGGTAAATTGCTACTAGCTCTCTGACTCGTCGTAAGAGATACGCGTCCTCGGACTATGAGAGTTGGTGCAAGATACTGGAGATCAGAGTGGGCCAAAAGGCGTTGATGATGTATGAAAGATAACAAACAGAGAAAAGTGCACAGTAAACGTCGAGTATACCAAACGTGTTAAGGGAATGACCAATTGGCCAATTTCTCTTCTCTACGCCGTTGTGACGTTGGCAGCGTCGTCCGATATGAACCATTCTGCGGGGTGATGCCGGCTCCTGTGGGCAGTACTGTGTTTGGAGCAATTCGCGACAAAGCTTCTCAAAGCGGGATGACATCGGACAACTGAAAATAGGACGGCCTAGGCCGTTTATAAAGAAGCTGCCGTCACTCTCTGATATCGAATGATAGCAAGCCTCTCCACGTAGGGCGGCTTGGGCGAGTCAGTGACTTCCGAAGCTCTTTTCTGTGGCTCGATTCGTACAAGGAGGGGTTGTGATGAGTTCCTGAGGGGCCATCGCGGGGTCGGCCCTGACTCAGGGCTCCGCGCGCGCGCTTCAAGAGCAGGAAGCACACCACGACCTTCCACAATCACAGCTGGTCGGTTAGCTCAGTTGGTTAGAGCGTGGTACTAATATTTCACCTGAAATGTTGTGTAATGCCAAGGCCGGGAGTTCAAGCCTCCCACTGATCATTGCTTTTGCAATTTTGACCTAGCTTTGCTGTTGCCTCTCCAAACTTCGCGAAAAAGTTCTTTTTTTCTTGGTTTGGTGAAATTTCGTGCGTTGAAGTGCACTTGGCTGGCGCGGGCTTTTTCTTACGGTCAGACGCATATGATGCTTATGTGGATTGATTGATGCGCTTTCCAATATGCCTAAACCGGAATGCGATAACGATAAGCGTCATGCTGCATGTCACCCCGGACAGCTTCAATTAAGGTAGAAGTCAGTGTCCCTCTCACTAGAAGCTTTCCCAAGCTTCAAATACGCCAAATCTCAATCAACACATATCTATCCTGTCACACATACATCTCCCTCGATCTCGCCCAATCCCCCCACGACACAAAACAATGCCGTCAAGATGACGGCGCCGCGCCCCTGGACACCTCCACTCCTCCTCCGCATCCGCTTCACAACCTCCCTCCCAGATCTGGACCTCGACATCCCCTCCCCCTCCCAAACAACAGTCGCCGCGCTCAAGCACCTCATCCGCGGCCGCCTCGCCCAGCCCGACTCCCAGCGCCGCCTCCGCTTCATCCACCAAGGCAAGATCCTCCCCGACGCCTCGGCCCTCAGCTCCGTCCTGCGGCCACTGCCCCCTCCTCCTCCTTCATCCTCGAACTCGACATCGACGCCATCCACACCCGGCGCAAGCAGCGGCTTCGATGATCCCAAGGGGAAAGGCAAGGCCAAGGCCAACGAGACGGCGCTGCCGCAGAGGGTCTACGTGAACTGCAGCATCGGCGACAGTCTCACCGACGAAGAACTCGCCGCCGAAGCCGAGGCAGCTCTGCGCGCGCCATCGGAGCGGGGTGCGACGACGCCTTCCGGGCCGGGAGACGGGCAGCAGGGTGGTCACGGTCAAGATGGTGGCGCATACGGTTCCCATGGTCACCAGCAGCAGCAGCGCCCGACGCCAAGAGGCTTCGACAGGCTTCTCAACGCAGGCTTCACGGCGGCCGAAGTAAACCAGCTGCGCCTCCAGTTCCGCGACATACGCGCGACACAATATACACCCGATACCATGCCCAGCCCGGACACGATGCGCTCGCTCGAGGACACTTGGATAGATACCAATGCCGGCGGCGCGTTACCCGGCAGCGGGACAGGCGCAGGAGGGGATGGAGCCGACGGGGGAGCGGGTGGAGGCGGCGGCGATGATGCGTTTGGGGTCATGAGTGGTATACTCGACGTCCTCATCGAGGGCCTGATTGTGGGTTTCTTCTGGCCGCTAGGGTGCTTGGGTTGGCTCTCGCGGGAGGAGAATATGCTCTCTGGCCGGTGGCATGACTTTATCGGGTTCGGCGTGACTTTGAGTATCATTATTGGCGTCATCAGGGCCTTCTCGGGCGATCGATAGGGCGAGGCCGTTGTTGGCTTTCAAGTCCTTGTGGACTTATCCTGGGGAGGGGAAATGTTTCCGGGCGATTGGCATGATTACGTTACATTAGGCGTGATATGGTGTTCTATTATTTCGTTCCAGCACGATGGCTTTCTCGGGCGATTAGTAGAGCAGTTGCGCTTTTTTCTGCTCTTGAATTTTGGCGTTAGGATAACGATGATGCTTATCGATTATACATCAGGTAGGCAATGGTGTCTTTCTTGCAATTATACCAAGCATCAGGCAGGGATGGTTGGGGAAGCGTAGCATGAATCACATACATAGAGACAGCGAACAAAAGGGGGCCATTATCTGCTTCATTGGTGGCCATGGAGAGAGCGACTTTTTGAGGGCCGTAACTCCGAATCCGCACACACAAAGATTCTACATGCATGGTATAAAACCTCGAATAACCATCAAACGCCATGATGTCCCCTGGGGCTACCTAACAAAAGCAAAAAGTACAACGGGCTATAAGAGAGGGAGCAAAAGGGCTATCCGGTGATTGCTAGCAAAACAATATTGTTGCCAGCATCCGGAGACAAACCTTTTTAGAGTTTTACAGGTACAAACTCTGGGCCGCGACGATGTCACGGCGGATCTTGGCGAGACTGTCCTCGAACTTTTGGGTAAGCTCATCGCTGCCCATGACCTTGGCGCCCTGGCCCATCTGGCGCAGTAGCTCTTCCAGGCGGCGGAAGAGGCGGATAAGTGAGCCCTCATAGGCGTTGGTCATTTTGCTGTAACGTGTCAGCAACGAGATATGGAACGAAGGATTGGAGGTAACGTACCAGATATCTGCAAACGGCTTGCCTTGTGCCCATGAGTAGACAGTCTCCATCAATTGCCACTTGAAGCCAGCCAGGTACTCCTCCTCGTTGAGCTCAAGCTTGCTCTCCCGGCTGACCTTGGCGACCTGCTTAGCCTTGGCCTGAACCTCCCTGTAGGGCTTGGCCAATTCCTCACGCAGGGCTGCTGTCTCAAGCTTCTCATCCAGGACGAAACAGCTGAGTGTAGCAGCAATGAGCTCGGGGGAGAGCTCGTTGAAGAAGCGATCAAACAGAAGCTCGGCAAGGACAAGCTCGTGACCTTCGGTGGATGAGATCTCGCAGGCGACACGAGCCTTAAGCTCGACAACCTCAGACTCGTTAAGGAACCCAAGACGGCGCAGGACACGCTTGCGCGCCTTGAGCTCATCCATCTGCGCAATGCTGTGGAGTCTTGCAATGTCCTTTTTCTTGGACTTGATCTGCTCGCCGAGTTTCTCCTTGGAGCGATACTGAAGGTAGAGCTCTGGAAGCAGCGGTGATCCGTGAAGGGGGTTGGTGAGGAGGCGCGCCTCCAACATCTCAATCTTCCTCATCAGGGCTTTGAAAGACTCGTCGTTGATGCCCATGTTCTCAACGGGGTCCAAAATGGGCAATCCGTCGGGGAAGCGTCTGTGAACCTCCCGAAGAGAGTTGCCGACCTCGTTAAGCGCGGATTGAGATTTGCAATCCTTGGGCATGAAGACTCTGATCTGGCTGATGGACTTGACGCAAGTCAGCAGACAAGGGATAATCTCGAAACGAGCTCCATTGTCTGGCTGCTCGGGGTTCGGGTAGGGAACCAGGCCCTTTGGCAGATCAGAGGTCAAATGCCTGGAGCCTTCGGCAACAGGTGCGCTCTTCTGGTCTACAACCATCATGACGTCGATGAGGCAGGACTCCTGAGGAGGGTACTCGGGCTCACCCTGTTTGCGGTTGCGGTCGCGGCGGATCAGGTTCGCCACGACACCCCAGCCGAAATCGGTTCCGCCAATGGTGTTGTTGGTCTTCTTGGGGTCGTGAATGCGAACAAGACGGCCGGGCTGCATGAAGTCGGTGCAGTGCTCAGGGTGCTGAATGACAGCGCGCATATCGCTTGTGTACTGCTCCAGCTGGTTGCGGAGGTTGTAGTAGTCCTTGACCGTAGCCTCATCAGCGATGGACATGCTGTCCCTCTCTTGCTGGAGAGCGACCAAGTCACGTTCCAAAGCTGGGACACTAGCACCTGTCTGGAACTGATGGAAGCAACGCTCAAGCATGAACTCGGGGGAAATAGCCTCGATTCTCAAGAGGTTGAGGATCATGTTGTAGCCGAGGTAGAAGGCGGAATTAAGACGATCCTGCTCACCCACGACCATGCCGCGGGCAGTATCAGGCTCCATCTTGTCGTCAATCATCATAATGACAATACCACGCGTATCCAGACCTCTACGACCGGCGCGACCAGACATCTGAATGTACTCGGACGGGGTAAGAGGTCTCCGTTGAACTCCATCCCACTTGTTAGTCTGGGTGAAGACGACAGTCTTGGCAGGCATGTTGAGACCAATGGAGAAGGTTTCGGTTGCGACAAGCACCTTGATCAAAGACTCTTGGAACAGAATCTCG